GACCGAATTTCCACAAAGAGATGCAAAAATATTAAACTGAGAGTCAGTAATTTAAACTTCTATTTCTTCACTAGGTAACTACTCGATGTTGTACTGAGGTATTACATAGATTCACATTTCTGATACATTGCGGCTTTAATACCGCCGCAGAGGGTGTACTGCGTTGGATTCCATTATAAAAATACGTTAGGCCAGCGGTTCTCAACCTTTTGACTAACGAGTACCATATAAACAAAAATTGAAAACCTTTAGTACAACCACTACAAAGTACTACTACCTCCACCACTCTTGAACAAAGCTCAGATCGCATAAATTTACGAGTGTTAGAGAAAAAACTCAATCAGGATGTTGGGGTTTAATTTTTGAATTTAATAGTTAAAAATACTTTACTTCTTTACGTACCACCTATTCTTCTCTTGCGCACCACCAGTGGTACGCGTACCACTGTTTGAGAACCCCTGAGTTAGGCATTTAGATATTTACAAATATATATGTTGGAAAGATTCAATATCTATAATGTATAATGTACACAAAGCCTACTTGCAAGTTTTCATGCTTTTACAGAAATCCTTTCATATGATCATTTATACTTCGAAAATAAGAAACATTTAGATTTGCGTTTTTACCTAATCAATTCTTTTTTGATACCAGGCCGAAATTCAGAACATTTCACAGACACAATATTCATATACTAGCATATCAATACATAGCAATAATTTTAATTTCCAAGGTTATCCTTAATTAAAACATTATCTTATTATTTTACCTCTATTATCACTTCTGTTTTCATCAACTTTCACTATGCTACAAATTAACTACTTGTATTTAAAGACAGAGGTCTTGGAAGTCATAGAGAACTTGACAAAAATAAAAGGATTTACCTATGCATTATAAGGCCAATTCTACGCTACGCATCTGCAGCCTTAGAAGCAGACTTCCACAAACTTTAATTAATACAGGATACGATTCTGAAAAGAACTGTAAATGCACATTACCTAATTAGAAACGGACTATCCATGGCAACTCGAAAATCGACCTTATAGTGGATCACATTACTAAACTTAATATGCGTATCTTCAAAACTGGTCTTAGCTCTGATGTGCACAATTTTTAAGAAGTTCTTAGTTACCAAATCATTCCAGAAGACAATTTGAGCAGACCATTTGCCGCTCACGTGATTAGACGTAACAACTTCGCAACCTAGTTATAACTGCCAACGGTTATTTTTTTGGTTGCCGCGGCGTGACTTTTGTCTTTCATCGCTTTCCATTAAATCGGCACACACGAAGTAAAAAAGACAATGGTCTTCCCGCTTTTACCTCACTTTATGGGCTCTTCCTTGATTTTCACCTACTAGCTCATCCAAGTCATTGTGCCCTCAGTGACTTAAGTTTCTTATATAGCTTTTTAAAGCCTCACTGAGACCACACAAACAATTTCGTAAATCAGTATCAGTATAAGTAAGTCACACAGAGAGCTTTCGCAGCGATGGTGACCTGCGTAATAAATATTTCCTCGCTCAGCTCTGAGAATCAGCTTAGACCAAAGTTACCATAACCAAATTTGCTGCCACAATAATAATAGTTTGAGCCAAAGCTTGATAGGCTGTATCTCAAACTATTCTAATTGCGAGAACTGTGAATTTGCAGAATTAAGGTACTTTAAATATTTTACTTTATGTTAAATTGAAATCCCAGTAGCGAAGATTGATATTGTAAGTATGAACTGTCACTATTAAGCTGTAGTAAAAAGGTTACTTAAACTTCGTTTTGCGTTGGAGTTGTTTTAAAACACGGAGCGATATGTCGTTTGGCAGTCCCCATGAAACCCAAGTTCAGTTAATTTAGTCAGTGGTTTGCCTTAGGTTCAATGTACTTTAATATAGAAATATAATTAATTCCTTATCAAGTCGCCGTATAAACATGTTCTTGATTATTTGTTTAATGATTAAACTTGTAATAAAATCTAGTAAAAATTTTGGAGGAACTTTTTAATTCATGGAAATGAGTCTTAGTTCTATCTGTCACATTTATTATCGTTAACCATTTCAAAGTTCCCGTAATAAAATCGGGAGAATTATCTTACGAGGCACATGCTTAATAGATCAAGTCAAAACGTTACTTATGGGATGGATATATTTCCATGCGACTGTTTACTATACTGCTATTAAATGTCCAGTTGCGGTAAAATAGCTCCCGCTCAAAGCGGGGTTAGTGTTGCCAGATTTGGCGACAAAATTGTCGATATGCCATAGACAGGAGCAAGGACATTCTTACCGGTGTTCCGGAGAGTGTTCTCGAAGGCAGGTCAAAAGCCATATATATCATGTCTGTACGCTGAGTAAGAGAGTATCTTGAAAGTATTTTGAGTTCAGTAGTAATGCTTTGAGTTCAGAGATTAGTTCGAGAGCGATCGACTGAGTCGGAAACTGTACTTTAGTGCTTTGCCGTGAAGCTGTCTTCACCATTATAGCCTGAAGGCTGTGTTGCTGATTGCTTCAGCGTGGTTGTCGCAGTTTTTTGACGACTGCAACGCGTCTTTGGAACTGACGAAATAAATTGTGTTTTGATTCCTTATCAAGTGTTGTCATCATTCACTCCAAATTCACAAACCCACACAACGCAAAAATAGTATGCCTTTCCATCATGAGGGGGAAAAAGCATTTTAATTTGGTTCTTCTGACTAGCTTTAATGTTTGTGTCCTATCAACGCTTACACTACATTTATTTCCAAACACACCAGAAAAAGTGATAATGTGGAAGTTACTGACTAGTAAAGGTAAGGCTTTGAAATGAATTGATCAATGATTTAACTTTAGTATATTACTTTAAACTGTTTCCGGAAGCTAAAATTTCCTTTCGCACGCAAGATCATAACCAAAATACACAAAAAGAAATACGATACTGGTAAGCACTACTATAATAACCTAACTTATGTATCATTTAATTTAAATAATAAATATCCTTTTCTCTTTCCCACTTCTTTTTCTTCAGTTAGTGGTATATACATTTTAATACTTTTTTTTGAAAAAAAAAAAAGAACTAAAAGGCTTTGACATGACAGACTACGAATAATAACTTCAGAAAAAAAATCTGAAAGGTTTCAGATTTTAAATTACGTTCAAAGGGGCGTTTTTTTAACATTTTGTCTGTTACCTTTATTTATTAAATATCATAATCTTCGCACTTAACCATAAAATTCAGTTCAAGAGCAATATCGCAAAATAGTTTTAAATTGAGTATTAGTATTTTAAATTGAATCGCAAATAGTTTTAAATCTTTAGAATTTCCGATACAGAGTCTCACGCGCTGGAGATAAAAATATTTTTTTCTGTATAACGTTGCCATTGCTTGTTTTGAAATCCTTACGTTTGTTCATAAATTCTTTAAAGTTTTACAAAATATGAAATCGATAGCAAAAGCAATTCCAAATTTCAAATTTGGGCTTTCAGATGACCATATTCATAGTAGGATTACGTGATTACGTCATACTATGATAACGTCTGTAGGTACCGTTGTGTTATCATAATGGAGAAACATATATACATTTATGCAGATTCTTCATTATTTAACTTCTTCAAATATAATACAGGGAGATAATATTTGGTGGCAACAGTTTGAAAAGTGATATAGCCATTTATAGTGTTTCAACGCAAAATCGCAAAACGAAAAGAATAGTCCCTCAGGGTCTAAATATCGTTTGGACTAATACAATAATAAAAAAAGTATTTTTGAAAGATTTCAGATTTTATATTATGCCAAAAGGGGCTTTTTATAACGTTTTGTGTGTTACCTTTATTAAATATAATGTTCTTCGCACTTAAACCATAAAATTCAATTCGACAGCATTATCACAAAATATTTAAAAGAGCATATCTTTAGAATTTCCGAGACACAGTTTCGCTCGCTGGAGATAAGAATGTTTTTTTTTTTTTTTTTTTAAATTTTTTTTTTATTTGTACAGTGTTTTCATTGTTCGCTTTGAAATCGTTGAGACAAATGTTTTATAAAATATGAAATAGATAATAAAACAAATTCCAAATTTGGGCTTCCAGATGCCCATATTCGAGTGGAGACGTACGTTATTCAAAACTTGATCGCTCTAGGTACCGTTGTTTTATCACAATGGGAGAAATATATATACATTTATATAGATTCTTTATTATTTAATATCTTTAAATATAATACAGAGCTCTAATATTTGGTGGCAACAATTTAAAATGTGATTCGCCGTTTATAGTGAATCGACGCGAAATGCCAAAAGGAAATTAATAACCCTTGTGGGCAAATTGCCCCTTTGGGTAAAATATATATATATATATATATATGTTTCCGTAACATATACTTTTCAATAATAAGTTAATTTCAGGCGTGTTGTCTTAGAGCAGGAGTGCCCTGCCTTTTTGTCCCTAAGAGCACATACTAGAACATGTGTTGGAGGCGGGCACCATTTACTTTTCCAAGGTGAAGTGATAGTTGGATAGACTTAAAAATACATGTACATAAAAAAGAGATCGGTCGCATTTCGCTTTGTGCTGGTATCTGTTTTGGACGCAATTTCTATTTCATTAAAAATGATAAAACCTTTACATCGAATTTTGTTGAAAATTAACACATTTTTCTTGTGATCGCACAGTTGCGGGCACACGTTAAACGATCGACGGGCGCTATAGGATTGGGAATCCCTGTCTTGGTCCATAAATCTGAAACTGTGAAAAAGAGGAGTTATTATTTTTTAACTGAATTGTATCACAAAATGGTTATTAATTATTTGCAGTAAATTTCCAATATTCTTTAAAATTTTATTTCGAATCAAATTTACAACAAAATGAGCTGCATACTCTCGTGTCTTCCTTCTTTCTACCCAGATTATATACATTCCAGTTTTGTTGGTATTGGCTGACCAAAAGAAACAAAAAGAACACTTTCGTTATTCATCATTTCCGTCTACGTTGCCCCAGACTGGGTAGATTTTGCGCAGCTGCATCCGGTAATTTTAAGCGTGTTTTATTATTATCTTTTGGCTATAATAAGAGGAAGTTTTTTTGCTTTAAGGTTCATATTTCATTACACATTTAGTTAAGATTGGCTCATCTCCGCGTTCCTTTTAAAAATTCCATATGATAATATGTTACAACTTATAAATAAATGGAGTACATTCTTTAGAAATATGAAGAACGGCTAAAAAGGAAACTGAGGTGTTTTTGAAGGATTTAATTAACAGGTATTTATTTTTTTTTATCTTTCTCTGTAACAGCAAATTGCTTTAAAACTATAAACCTAAAACGACATGTGAAGTAAATTTAAAATTACGACACATTTTCAAACTACGTAATGCAAATAAATTAATTAGTTATAGTTTATGATGTTGACAAAAACAATTCCTATCAGCCGAGTCAGCTTATGATATTGGTAGAATTAATACGTAGGCCAAGGCTGAATGCAACAATTTCAGAGCTTCGTTAGTCTCTGTTATAAGACATACAAAATTTCTTTGTAGTCAGAGCGGAATTTCATCCAAATCCCAGTCTCGGTACTTGTCAGCTTTTGAGTGAAATAGTGGTTCAAGTCAGAGCGCATCGACGCTGCAAATAAGATGAATTCCAATACTCTATAATGAAACTAATTCATTATATTCAGATATAATTATGTTATTTATGTTTCATTTATTTAGTATTTCAGTTAGCATCCCTGGAGAGATTAAAATAGGCAATGTTGAGGAGCTGAAGAAGAGAATTCCGTACATCAAAATATGATCTTATCGGGAAAAGGAATATTTATGGGCTGCACTCATCTGGTCAAAATGACTATAAATGAATTGGAAGGCGAAACAAAGTTGCAGTTTTATTTGAATGTGAAGAATAATAATCTAAATATTTATCTTCCTTTTATCTTGGGTATCATCTTTTGTTTGTATCATTTATTTATTTACTACCAGTTATTAATTCTTTGCAAAAGAAAATACTTTAGGAATTTTTAAAATAAGAATTATCGCTTATCGCTTTGTTAACAAAGATCTCTATATATGTGACCAGAGTTTTAAAATTTGAAATTTAATAAATCTAGAAGAACCTGATTGACCAAAGAGCATACACGATCCATGATGAACATAGTTTCTAGTAATTGTTATTCAAAGCTATAAAAACCATCCGTGTCGAAGAAAACTTTAATAAATAAAAGGAGCTTTATGTGATTATGGCAAAGAATTGAGGGCTATCTGCCTAAGGGTAAGGATGCCTTCATGCAGGACTTTTCTAAGGAAAATTGGCTCATGTACTCGTTACACATGGGGAAATACACGAAAACGCCCATCATGCAGCCAGCCCATTCGCGAGATTCGAAGCTCGGACTAACTGTACTAGCTTTGAAATCATTGAATTTTTTAATAAAAAATTGGTTAAAGTTTTACAAGCTTACATTCATGCAAATTCTTCATTATATACTTTCTTTAAATGTAATGTAGGCGCGAAATCCCGTTTTGAGACTAATAGCCTTTCTGGGCTAACGCTCCTTTGGGCTAATTAGTTGTGATCAGGAAGTTCTCGCTATTTGATCTGTTTCATAATCTCGCATCCAAAGTCTCCCCTTTAAATTTCTCTAAGTTAACTAAGGAAAATTTATAGATTATTTATAGATGATAATTTGCTACAGCTTTCAGGATAAAGAATGATACATAAATAAACGAAATAGACATCAATCATGTCATTTATTGCAATCAAAACAAAGCTATATTTGTGCATATACGTATGTTAAACTCCTTTTACAACGTATTGTTTTTGCTTCAATATTTTTCTCAAAATTTCTTTGCAGTCAGTATGCTTCTATACTTCGTTTGCTGTATTTCCTTCTCTAAAGTTTTGAGCAAATATTCTAATCTTTGTTTTTGTCTGACATAGGCGAAAAATATGGAGATAGCCCTACCTGTTAACTTCCAGGTAAAGCTATCTACGTAAGTAGAATATTTTTGCTTATGGAATATCTCTAATCGACAGCTGTTTTCCAAGGATGGTATTTTAATATGTCGCTAAAATAGAATACACGCATTTGTTCTTTCAGTTGAATATTAAAGATATCTGGTGCTCTGATCTTAGAAGTAAGCATATTAAGTTATATGTTGTATCTAATTATTTACATCATCCAAAAGAATGCATTCAGGTACAAAAGTTTCCCAAAATTTTCTTCGTGTATGAAAGCCTAGAGGAAAAAGTGCTTAATGCTATAAATTATTTATTTGAAATCAAAATGTTACTAATCAGAATGTAAAAATTATTCATTATATGTATACTAGTATGGGTGGCTGCATAAGCTTCAGTAAATACGTTCGGGTGTTTGTCTTTGGTTTATTATACGAAGTTTTGGGTATAAAAATTTTAAATTGAACGAGCAAATTAGATAGGCGGGGGGAAATAAATTTTAAGTAAAAAATTTATTAATAAAAAAAATACAATACAGGAAAGAGAATAATCCGATAATTTTTAAAAATACGAAAGGAAAGTTTATGATTCAGTAACTAAACGAAATAATAATGATTTTTATTTACATTATAATATTTTTCATTCTTAAAAAAATAATTTTAAATAATTCAAAATTAAAATTTGAGATTAAATTTTAAAATTAATAAGAAAATCACTTTTAATTAACGTTTTTTGCAATTTTGGAAATTTAAATCTCTAGCTTCTTTACACAGAAAAATTAAGAAGACATTTTATTAGCTATTTCATTTGAAACTAGCTTTAAAGGTACTCCCTAAAACGTCTCTTTCAAACTGTTGATTTAATTTGCTTATGCAGAATTTTAAAATCTGTATCGATAAGCAAAGCGAATTCCCGGTAGTTTCTCCCTTTTTTTATTCATTTATTTCTTTTCCCTTTTTTATGTATGAAATATTATTTCAATAACATTAATTAAAATTAAAATCACTTTCACATAACTGAATACTTTCTCATAGTAACATAGCTCTTATAGACAGAAATCTTCCTTTGTCAAATTGTTTTATTTATTTAAAATTTATGATTTTGCTGTATGTCTTAACTTTTGGTACGAATGTATGAATAAAAATGCTTGAAAATGGAATCGCAAGTATTACGAATGTTAAATATTTAAACTCCAGATCATTTGAGTGATATTTAATGGTATTTTTTTAAAAGAAACGTTGTAATAAATATTACTAATGAATTTTTCTGAGCACTTGAGTGGTAATTTAATATCACAATTACGTTGATTTCCATATGCTATAAATGTTTTACAGTAGTATTTAATTTTAAATGATTATTTAGTACTTATTATTATTTTTTCGCTTTATTTTAGTCAGAATTTTATGTACTAAATGTTTTTCCCCTTTTATTTTAATATTTTTCCAAAACTTAATTCTTGATTTCTTTTAATAAGTATCTTTCACTTTTCCACCTTTATAAGAAAAATTTAAAATTGTTTCGAAATGCAGTGTTAAGAACTATATGATAGATAAATTGATATATTTATAATATCATATCGATAGCTTAATTTTGCCGAATATTAGAAAAATATATAATTCTAAGTTACATTATTTTTAAGAAGACAATACTTTCTATATTATGTAACATTTGATGCACATTATACAAAATCTTTCTGATGAATGTTCCGATAATTTTTTACATAACATAACATACGACAAATAAAAAATAACATATTAAAAAATAACATGGCAGATAAAAAAAGTCTTCCTCTAGATATCTCAGTTAACGTTACCAATTGACCACCTTTAAATTAAATGTGTTATTTTAATTTAATATATATATAAAAGTTTTCAGATTTTAAATTATGTCCAAAGGGGCGTTTTTTAACGTTTTGCGTGTTACATTTATTTATTGAATATCATGTTCTTTGCACTTAAACCATAAAATTCAGTTCAATAGCAATGTCGGAAATAATTTTAAAATGATGATATCTTTAGAATTTCCGATACACAGTTCCGCGCCCTGTAGATAAAAAGGTTTTTTCCCCCTACAGTATTGCCATTGCTCGCTTTGAAATCGTTGAGTTTTTTACTCAAAAATTCGTTTCAAAGTTTTACAAAATATGAAATCGATAATAAAACAAATTCCAAATTTCAAATTTGGTCTTCCACATGCCCATATTCGTAGGAGGATAACGTCATTCAAAATTCGATGGCTCTATGTACCGTTGTTTTATCACAATGCGAGAAATATACCTACATTTATGCAGATTTTTCATTATTTAATTTCTTCAATTTATAATGCAGGACTCTAACATTTGGTGGCAACAGTTTAAAAAGTGAAACTGACATTTATAATGATTCAAAGCAAAATCGCAAAACTAAAACAATAGTCCTTCAGGGACAAAGCCCCTTTGGACCAATAATAGTGTTTTGATTTCAAAGAAATTATTATTGATAATAAGATTTTAAAAGGTGTAATTCCATTTCGTCCTTTGTGTGTGAGATACCAGAACTCTACCAGTGCTTTTATAGTCCCATTGCTATTTCCGTAAATCTCCTTCCCTGCTTTGATGGAGAATATCCTAGGGGATGGATCTGAAGGTTCCCCCCAACTGTTCAAAAGTCCTTTTGAACAGTTTGATGGTAGAAGAAGAAAGCTCGCCAGTATTATGAGTATCTACATTCTGTATTAGTACAACACATACAAGCATCGAAGTCTTCAGGGTTTCAATATGGGTCCGAAAAAAAACGGCAGCCATATACATTATGTTTAGAAAATTTTTTACTGACATCATGATGAGCTAATAAAGAATATATCCTTTTCTACTGGACGTGTCAAAGTGGCCCATATATCATTCTGAGGGAAACTGTTTCGCACGTACTATCCTAAAATAGAAAATATCCAGCTTGTTCTGAGAATGGAAGACTGCGGCATTAGTGTTTTAAAAATGCAGCGAATCTTTTTATTTAAAACTAATTAAAAATACTATTGAAGCCTTATTAATAATTAAGATCAAATTGGACCAAATATTTCTGGTTTGTTAAACTGAAAGATTTTTTATAAAGGCATTTAGAGTACACTTACATTAGATAAGTTTCTAAATGAACAAAAATTACGTTAAGTTGTACGACAACAGAATTATTTCTTGCAAACGAAGTGAAAAATTGAATTGACTTAACAAAATTCCACAATCTTTCATTCAGTAAAAATGCAAACCAGCTGTATAAACAAACTGAAAAATTTTAATTTGTGGATATCTTTTTCTGTTCAACAGTACGTGTAAAGGTTTGAATGAAACACAGGTGTGTGAACTGCTATCTGTTGATTTGACTTCCTTCCAATACAGTGTTTCAGTACTGTAGTATCCTGAACGCACAAGAAGTACGGACTCAAAAAGTTTAGTTTGTTACACAAATTCAAATCTTATACTTATAGGTATGACGCTAATATTTTATCATTGAGTAGGTATTTGAACAACTAAAATATTGAGTATATTTTATTTGCTCAGTTTAAAAATAACTATACCATAATAATTATTAAAACGCTAAATTTAATAGTAATATGCAAGATATGTTAACATACTCTTTATAAACCTAAAGCTTCCCTTTAAATGTCTTACATAGCGATCACGTTTTCCACTATTTTGCTCGGAAATATTTTATCTTGAACTATATCAGAAGAAATATTTATTTTAGATTGCATCGATTTAAATAATAATATATGACTGAAATATAAAATTGGACTTTACATAACATATATAAGGTATGTCTCCCGCCTTCTTGACAAGCCTTCGTGGTGTAGGGGTGTGCACGCTCAGCGCGTAATTAAGAAGTCCGAGATTCGATTCCCGACGAAGGCGTTGCTAATTTTTCATCTTGCCTGCTTCCAAAAATACGTAATGTCTCTACACATATAAAGAAGAGGCTCTTTACGGCCGACCTTCCTTATAGGTATTTAGGCTGGTAAAAGCACATAATGTGCACATAATGTTAAAACGATATTAATAAAGACCCTTTATGTACAACATTTTGAAATAATGACATAAATATGGATGTAGTAATATTCTATACATGGTTTGTTCATTTACACAAAATATATAAAATTTCATTTATCAAAGAATAAAATAAAATAAAATAGAATAAAATTAATTTTATCATTAATAAAATTTCACTTATTGAAGAATATAAAAGTAATGAATAACGTTTTTGAAAACGGGAAAATTATAAGCAATGTTGTAATTTTTCCGTGATTTAAAACAATGAGACATAACATAAATTTAATAAATTTGAAGGCACCATTCTGATGTATATCTCATTAATACAGATAATGAATATAACTGTAAATAGTAATATTTAATAAAAAATATTAAGTACTTTTAAGCATTTAAGTACTTAAAAGTTGTTACTAACGGATCAGTGTAAATAATAAATATGCATTACAAAAATTTAATTGATTAATGATAAATCATCGAAGAAATAAAATGCACAATAATATGTCAACAACACATAAAAATTCGATATTAAATCATCAAAACATTACAAATACTTAATGATTACGAAAGCTAAGGCTAAGGAGCCTTGGAAAATGAAGCAATAAAGGAAGAAAATGGGTAAAGTAATAAAACAGAGCAGTAAAAGAATAGAGCAATGAGGAAATGTATCTGTAAATAGGAAACCATAAAATATTTGTACGAATGTTGTACAAGAGGAACGTTGTAAATTCCAATTCAGGTTAATAACATAAGATAAAATGTGTAGACTCTTATTCGGATTTGCAATTTTTCGGATGTGATATATGGCAACCATAAATTATATTTTATGGCAACTTACAGAGACTGAGCGTAGGTTGAAGTCTCGGAACTTTTGATTAAACCCACGTTAATCGTTTAATGTATTATGTTGCAGAAACTATGAAAAAGGAACAGTACGAAGGAAATTGTACAAGATTATTAATTCGATTACCTCTAAAAATCATACAGAATAAGCGAAGTGAAGATGCTATAGGTTGGCCTACCTCTCGGTAAGTTGCATTTGAAATCAGCAGCTGACTTTCTTCCTTTGAACTGCTGAAGCTACTTCATGCTATTTTGCTGCAGGTAAATGTTACTACGGTTTATTAGAAATTTTTTACGTCGTTTTTTTATGTTTCGTGTAGCAATGATAATAACTGACGCTTAGTGAAATGTGATTTGTAGAATTTTTTAAGTACCGAATCATAGATGTGCAGCAAAAGATAAAAAGAAAAGGCAAACTTATTTTATCAACTTCTTTTGTTTTCTGCGTTTCTAGACAATTTCTAATGGCTATAAATTTAAGATACATTTAATTTTTACCTATAATAAACACGATACTTAATATGATACAACTTACGGTTTTAACACTTTCTGTAAGACCTTTATTCTTATATTTATTATAGTTTGAAATGAAAATAAGTATGCTTTATGCCTCAAACGTTTCAAAGGATTTATTAATATTTGAAGTATTAGTGTGCCGTATGTAACTCATTGGTAACATTTTAATTTACTTATATTTAAATTTAAAAATGTATTTGAGCATACATTACTTAAATTAAATACTCTTGTTTCTTGGGTGGGGATTTCTTACATTTTAATCAAATCTTTAGTCTTATGATTTGTATGATTTAATATTGTGAATAGTTTTAAATAATAATAAAAAAACACTAAAGGCTTGGAGCATTAGAAGACTATTACCTTACTCTTTTTTAAACTGACTGAGTATTAATTTATTGATTATTTTAGATTTTCTACTTTTATTTTTATTTTAATTTCTTAACTGTCATTACATTTTTCAAGCTATTATCTCAGATTCCTGCAAGATAACATCGCTACAGATCTCGCATAGAAATTTTCAACTCATAAAAAAACAGTTATTTTATACTTGTATATAATGACAGACTCTAATGAAGAACCTAAGCATGTCATATACATCAAAGCTGAAAGTGTACAAAGTAATTTACAAGAAGATATGAGTTTATCTAATGAGACTGCTCCAACATCTATGAATACAAGTATCAAGAAAGAAGTGCAGGAAGCTACATGTCACTCAGATCCAGTAAGTAGTGCTTTTTATGTATTTAAAACGTTGATTTTTAAGCTACCATGTTACTTAAAAATTGATAAAGTGATACTACCGCTTTATAGAATATACCCTTTCGTTTTTTAAAAAAGGCAAATTATTTTACTCAGTAATATTACTAAATAGTATTACTAAATAATGTTACTAAAACGTCGAAACGATGGTGTATCAAAGCATTAGCATTTCTTCCATGAAACTGCAAGACATATTAAAGTAATTTATAGTTGAAATTCCTAAGGTACGCTGGATAAGCTGTTGTCGGTCATTGACTTTTCTAAAAGTTGTCTTGAAACTTCATGGAAGAAACTTTGCAAGAATGCATCTTTCTTTCTTATTTTTGAACTAAAGTAATGGCCAAAGGAACAATGTATGGCCATATTTGTTTATAAGTTTCTTTACGGCGAAGCATACAAGAGCTGTCTGCTTCAGGAGAGAGTTGCTTTCGTGGAGAACTCTTTAATGAAATACTACAACATAAAAATGGAAAAAACTTACAAATTTTATATTCATTCTAAATCGTAATTTCAAGGCAAAAAAGGGGATTATTTGACGTTATGTTTCAGATGCAGCTAGAAATGAGCCACCTATAGTGGTAATCCTAGTAATATTACCAGATTCCAAAAAATCACACGTAAAACTAAGCACACTTTTATTTACACTCTCCGGCAGTGGTTTCTCAGCAACACATATCGCTCTTTTTTGGCGGGATATGTGGGTATGTTAAGAAATAGTCAGTTCAAATTAAAGTGAATATGAATCACTTTAAATCCTTGAGAATGAAACAGCGCGTGGTCCCATTATACAAACTGATGTTGCTATTTACATAAATATTCTTCTGCATCCTTCCTCCAGATCAAGGGTTCATTAGAAATATGAAAGCGAAATCTATGTCGTATGAATCTCTCCAACGTACTAATTAAAGTATTTAAAGTATTAACTTCTTGAGATCTCACGTTGAGACTCGTATTCATGTTGAGTTAGCACACAGAATACACTTCGGTAATCTTCCCGATTTTTCCCACATGGGAAGGTGAGTTATTATTTATCAACACCATACCACACCATAAATTTTGAATTCTATCTCACATTGATAGGCTTTACACAATAACCCCTTTCAGCTGTAGTAAATACACTTTACACTATCTAGGTCAGAAACTGTTCAGAAACCTTTGATAATAAAGGTATCTTTCAGTATGATATTTCTGCTGAAGCATCTAGAATAGCCGGGTTATTCGTTTTCCTACTAAACTATGGACATAAGTTAAAGAATATGGTTATATAGATCACTATGCGAATAAATCATTGGTCAAGAATTAATTACAATTTCAATTTTAGTTATTACAAATTGTAATTTTCCAAATGCTAATAAATCCCTCCAAAGAAAATATCTCTTCAAAATATTTTTATTATCCTAATAATCCTCTCCGTAAATTTTCCTTGCCAAGCAACTCTCTCTATTATATACTTAAATTTTTTTCACTTTTTATTTTAATACCTCACTCTTTTAAGAAATTGTAGATGAATTTTATAATCTTTAGAGATCATATTCAACGTTTTTAAAAGTGCTTGCATTATGATTATGCATCTCAGATTTTGAAACAAAATGTCGGAGAGTATGAACATATTTTTCACTCGTTGGGACCGAAATGTTTTCAGCATGGATACGCTAGTTACTGAACACGTAGAAACCGATGACCTTTTGCATTTTGCGAGGTTAATTTATATCATTTTATTTCCGGTCTTATTTAATTTCCAATCAAGGCTAAATAACCGAGACGAGTCCCTTTGATAGTTCGTTTCTTGGAACGTACTTAAATCAGAATATTTCAGCAAATCAGAATATTTTCAATAATATATATTGAACGTTTCTTATTTTTTTCAAAAATGCTGTTATCTTTTCAGAGTTTTGCTTTCTACTGTGGCCAAACTTCTTTATTCACGTGGTTAGTCGAATTACTGTATGCAAGCTATTAGACATAATTACTCAAATTCAGTAATTATTTTCGGTCTGGATTTACTTTTCACGACATCTGTCACGACATCTGTCACGACATCAGCCAATCTCATATTCTCAACGTCATTTGAGCGTCTTTATAGCCTGATAGTTTAATATTGATTTCTGAGACTCACGATGTTTTTATTTGCAAAGCCAGTTTTTTCATATTACCAAGGTTTGTGCGATAGAAAAAAATACACCTTATTACCTACCTAATACGCCAGCAGGTAAGGTTATATAACCTTACCTGCTGGATTTTCTTTCCAGGGCAAACAGTCGATTTAGTGACTCCGAACTTTACTGGTTTTCTTCCGAACTTCACTGAATTTCCACAACACAATTAGAGACTCTTTGCTTTCAGTCTCGAGCGTAGTCTTAGCTCTAATACCAACATATTTTCGAAACGTAATTTCAAAAAATAAAAGTATTTCAAAAAGTAATGTTCATTTAGAAATTTATATCACTGGATCTGAGAAATGTGAACAGGAGTTTCATATAACTTCCAATTCTTGCAACTATCAATCAGTCATATGATTAACTGGAGCTAATCGAGAATCTGCTCTCGTATTTCTTCAACCACTGGATCTAATTTTTAAATAAGTGACCGATTACATTTTCTTAAGTTATCAGCTGAAATTTTGTGTACTTGTTTCTCATCAGACAGAAAATCTTTGCAACAGGTTCATTTAATGAACAAATGTTTAGCTGGTTAAATCCCGCTCACTATTCCTTCCAAATCGAGTGTTTCCTACCAATTTCCGTTTTTCAAATGGACTGTAACCTAAATTTTACTCTGACTGAAATGTGCAATTAGATCTAAGTGATGAAAACTTTTTCCACAGTTATCGAGCACTGCATCTTGCGTCTCTCCGACGTTCTGTCTTTCTTCAAAGAATGGGCAATTTAGTTCTTTCTCGTAATTCCATAACAGCTCCTTCAATGGTATATAATTAAAGTTACGTGGCAGTTAAATTTATTGTTCTATCCACGTATCGTTTAATTTGCTAGAATTCGAAGAAAATTTGTAGAGTTTCGTGTTGGCTTCCATACTGGTTTTCACTCTTATCTTCTAAGCATCAGAAAGACCAAGAATTTTATCCAATTTATCCAATATTCGCTGCGTAATTTACTTTATCAGCATAAGGGTTATATAGCATTTAGAAAGCTCATTTTTAATTTCTTTATATTTATTCAAGCATTTCTTAATATTAATAGGAAAAGTAAATTTACTTACTTTAAATTAATTTCCTTTGCAATCTAATTACTTATTCTTAAACTACACGAATCTGAAAAAATCTCGATATTCTACATATAGTCCTGTTTTAAGTAATGTTTTCTGAATGTAAGCTAAAAATACCCTGTGCTAGTTTCAGAAAGTCAGTTTTACGTTAAGCAGATATGATACAGATTAATTCCAAGATCAAGACAGTAATTAAAGGATTTTTCGTGTTTACTCGTAAAGGATGCACTACAAACAGAGCTTAATATATTGCTGATTAACCCTCTCTAATAACTGCATGAGCAGGAAAATATTAACCCAAACTATGAAGTACCTGAAACTGATATTTGTCAACATCCCCTTAATTCAGATTCTTCCCTGAAACCTTTACCGTATTACTTAAATAACTCTTTAATGGTCTTTAGTTAATTCCCTAGACCAGGGATTTCCATTCCTTTTCTTACATCGACTCCTTTTAAAGAATGGTTTTCTTCATCAACATCCTTACATTTTTCTCTATAATACACAGTGTGCACAGTGTGCATCTCATCATTCTTTTCGTTGCTTCCTCTCTATTATTGAGAAGGTTATTTTTTAGTAGGAAATGCATCCTCATATATACCAAAAAGGCCTAGCCATTTAACAGGAGATGCCTTTATAATTATGACAATATCAAGTTCATTATATTTCCTATAGATTCCATGGTCATATAATATTCTCCACAGTTCCTTAATATACATTATTATACATAAATAACTGTAAGATAACAATTAGATTAAGAATATAAACAAACAAAATGGCTTTTCAGAATAAAATTTTATTAATTTTTCATTATTAATTATTTTTGATTTTACAAGTTTAAAATAAATAAATAAATAAAATAAAATAAAATAAAAAACCGCTTATTCAAAATTGCACAAAATTTTAATTTTAATTAATTAATGACTGCATTTGATGTATCAATGCAAATTTTTAGTATTTAGCATGAAATTCCTAAACTTGAAACTTAAAGCAAGTCGCTAAAAATAATCAATTTGTTTTTTGTTTTCCATATTAAATTATTGACTTGAAAAAAGCCTGCTTCGACTAGGTAACAAGAGAGAAAAGTCTGTAATATAAACTTGATAGCAACATTTGCTTTTGGATATTTCCTTCGGGTGACTTTTAAATTCCAGAATGTAAAGTACCCATGTGTTTCGAATAAGATTTAACTTTCTATAATATAGCTTTACATCAATAAATAATTAATTACCAATTTTATTCGGAACCTTTTTCTCAAAATTGAGATCTTCATTATGCCAATTAGTTTCCGATACTAATTTGGCTGCCGACTCACGTGCTTCAAAGTTTCATCCACCCACTAGGTGGTCAATACTGATCCCGTCTGGAACTCTACTCAAGACTAATAGGTCACTACATAGTAAACTCATAATTATTATTTAATTTTTATGATGTTTTGTTCATATTTGTTATCATTCATTGTTTTGTTATTTTCAAAGAAATTTTGTTCATATCTTTCATATATCTGCATTCATAAACCGCATTACATTCGAACAAATCCATAATATCCAAGACTGGATTGTTTACTCTCCACTTCATCATTGATCCCATTTCTTTCCGTTTAAACTGCTTAAAAGCGAATGATCTTTCTGTTATAAACGCTACTTGCACATTTGTCATAACGCTACTTGTACATCTGTCATAACGTTATTTATCTTACAAAATTTCGTAAAACTTCTAAATTTCGACTAAACATGGGCTTCGACTAAAACATCCCTTTTCAAATGTCTTTATATCTGCTAATTGAAAAGCTTTCGAGGAAAGCTGCTAACTTAAACACTTACTTGGAATGGTTAATGGCCCATTTGCAATTTTCGTTATGAGAATCAGTTGCAATTTGTAACGATAAGTTATATTCTGTAGATCCAAGAAACCTACGTCGTGAACTAAAGAAGATAAACTTCCGCCAATATATCTATAAATTCTAATATTTTCTCCAAGCTATATCTTGCCAAATTTTTTCCTTGCAAAACCCCAGTTAGATTATAGAATCTTACCAAATTTTCATTAGTTCACACTTTTTTTTCCACCTTTAAAGATTTAATTCGTTTACTGTGCTATTTTAAAGTTATGCTAGTATTAAAATACTTAAGTACTAGAACTTACCTGGTATGTAGTACTGGAACTGTAAGAATCGGTATGAAAATACAAGAACTGTAAGAGCTAGTATGAAGTACAAAGACGAATGCAACATGAATGTATGAAGAATTTCAGGAGGAATCATTTCTGTTTTCATATGGAATGAATTTCATGCATACACAGGTATACCCTATCATGTTATCACTCAGATACTTTCACATGTCATCTTGACTTCGTAAAGCCTCAGATGGAAATCCCATAAGAGATCTTTACAATGAAAAATACTAGTTTGAAGTGAAACATTCTTTCTAAGTTGTTTAAATAAAAATCCAAAGCTGAATTATTTTCAATTTGGGTAATAGACTTATTCTTACTAACTACTCTACCGCAAATTAAATAATTAAATATTATATGACAAATTAAATTTTTACAGGTGTCCCTGCATCAATTATTCTCGGTGACTTGATCATATTTCAAATACCGTTGCAGTTTCGCAGCCTGTCTGGATCCGAAACAGGCTATGAGCAATTCTTTAGATATACGTAGAGCACAGTCGGCTTCAAAGGCTGATTATGTCAAGTTGAATGGAACTGTTTCCTTAATTAAGGTTAAGCCAGAAGACATTAAGGTTAAGCCAGAGATACTCTTTAAAATATGATTGAGTCAATTGAATGAAGCACCTGTACTTGAAACTGAAGAATGATAGAAAACTTAATTCAATCGGCTATTGACATCACATTTATTGTACTTACGGATTAAGTATTTCGAATTTTTTCTTCAAACAGAAATTTTGTATTTATCCATCAGAAATTCCTGAATGCAATGCCCAAACTGTGAAAGAAAAAATGGTCATGAATTGCTTTCGGAAGGAGAAAAGTTGAAACAAAAAGGAGAAAAACCGAGGAATCCTGACAGACCACTACAAAAGAAACATAAGACTCTGGTCTGAAGCTGACTAGCAGCTTTGCTTCTGTAAAAGATAATAACAAAAATGAAGAAAGAATGCAAGTTGACCAATCAGAAAAGACGAATCCACCAAGACTTCCGTTACTTCTCCTGTGCCCAGAAATTTCTAGAAATCCCTGTTGGTTTTATTCCTTCGGAATGATACTGATGATCTCAAAGGAATACTGGCAAGAGAATGTATTAAAATATTTTTAATTTCACCACAAAATAGGACTTTATGATAGCGTCTCTAAGCAGACCTGAATTTCTTTGCAGCGTCTTCATCAGATTGAAAGAGCCATCAATCAAAATAGCCATCTGTGGCTTTCTTGAAGGTGAAGCAGTTCAGAAGATGAAAGGAAGGAATGGTGGAAAAAATTTGATATTTGATCGTTTCTTTGCTTCCGGTCCTACAGAGAGTTTCTACCAGTAAATCTTAGTTTTAACTGTAGGCCTTTTGTTTCATTAAAAAAAAGATGCATTATACACCAACCCCGCATGCGAAAATCAGTTAAGTGGCAAAGTCATGACAGGAATAATATAATTAATTTTCATCAAGCAATTTGCATATGTTGAGAAGCAAGTATATTACAATGGCATATGTGTGAGATTCCTTAAGCAAATGTTTGTAGAAATACTTTAAAGTTACGGTAATTAAATAAGAATATGAAATTTTGGTGAACACGTGACTTTGGCTGTCCAATCCTGACTGTTGCAGTGTGAAAAGCTTTCGATTGGCTGAGATGATTCCATAGCTGTAGATTTTTCAAGTACACTAAATACATGCTAATATTAAAGATGTAAATAAAGTTGAAACTAAAACAGCAGAACAAAATCCCTCAGCTTTGCCGGTTAGAAGTGTCCAAAAGCTTTGTGACTAGAAATAAAGCATAGTCTTCCTGCTTTGCCAGTAATAAAACAAAGTCCTACTGATTTCCTAGTAAAAATTTAAACATGAAATATGTATACTATGCTACGGACGTTTATTCTGTCTCCTTTTTCTTGACATTATTTTCGCACATTCTAGGGAATTCCAGTTCAGACTTTAACACGTTATGCATGAGGAAAAGTTCATCATGTCCAGCAGAGGTAGATACTTCAAGCAAATTTGGAGCACCTGTGTGTATCTTGGCCACCAAGTTTCTTTCTGAACTTTTTCGGACTAGAGAGACAATTTCTGCCGTTTGGAATTTCATTTCATTTTCAATTTAGATTATTGAGTTTACTTTACTTTATTCCTTTTTTCTTTTTTTTTACTCATTATTGTTATTTATTTTGAACATTTTTTCACTATTTACAGTGTTATTGTACATTTGTGTATTTATTTTGTTATTGCTAATGTGCAAACCTTGTGGTATACTTTGTGAAACACGAAGAGTTGAAGTTAGATTTAAAAAAATTACTTTATATCTTAATGTCATGAACTATTTTTATCGCAATCAAAGCCGATTACTTAACATTTTCTGAAATAATTTCGTTTGCATAGCCATAAAAATATTTCCTTTTCTTCTAATTATAATGAATTGTGTATAGTTTCGAAGATTATTGATTGCTTTTGAGCTCTAGTGGAAACATGCACGTCCTAAAATATTTATAAAATAAAATTGAAATGCAAGTTAGTTAATGAGCAAACATCAATGCTGTAGACATGGTAAGACTCAGAAACACAATAAATGTGGTGATTTATAAAAGAAAGATTATATCATCTTTCTTATCTAAAAATGTTAAAAAATGAGTTACCCTGATTGTCAAAAAAGGGATTTTCTATGGAACAATTCCATTACAGATGCTAATACATCACCAGTTTCTTCTTAATAAATTATAAAATATTTATTAATCTTATTGTTCTCATAAAGTATATTTTTCTTTCTTCTGTTCCAGAAAAATTTGACTATCACGTGGAAGATATACAAAGATTTCAAAATATGCATATATAAACCTCTCATCCCCTTGAAGCTAGCTTTGTTTTTTTGGTATGGAGGTAAGTTTATACTTATGCGAATGTTTACCATATCTTAAAAATGCTCTTTCCCAGCAATTTTGAAAGCTCCTTGCTCTGTTTTAGTGAGTTAGTTATTGCTTCATATGTAATAGATAAACTGAATAAGCTAAATTAAAAATTAGAAAAGATGTTAAGCATATTAAATTTCCTTTGGACTTAAAATAAACAAACACTATCTGCAGCATTCATCTAAACAAAATTGTAGGCAAATTCATGGAAAAGTAGCGGAATAATTTTTGTCTGAATTCACTGAAGCAGAGAAATTTCGGATAATGCATTTTAGAGTCATTAGGTTATTTTGAAGCAGAATATGAGAAACATATGCAATGTTCTCGCCACGACTTGAACATGGACCTCTGGAATACGTGCCGAGGGTGCTAATGCTACACAACGAAGGCATCTTGGAAGGAGTGAGAAAAACACCTTATATTCTCATTTGGTAATTCAGTGCACATTTCTTTGGGTACTGCTCGGCACACAGCTGTGCTGCAGTTCTTTCATTGCAGTGAACTTAGCCATACACAATATGTATTATCTCCATTTCCATGTTCATCAATTGTTCTGTGCTCTCTGTATGTAGTCAGAACTTAAAAATGACAAATGCTGCATTTCATTTGCAGCTCTGGCAAACATAACTTTATACACTCTTTTTAAAGGCGACTGGGGATTAGGGAACCCAGTCGCCAAATTCTGGTGGTGAAGAATTATTGTCCACCGCCTTTCAGTTCGTGAGACGTTTGTAGAGTCATTAGATTATTTTGAAGCAGGAGATGTGAAAAATGTGCAATGCTCTCTCCGCAACACGAACCCAACAACACTCTTGAATACACTCTTGAATACTCGCCGAGTGTGCTACCGTACTACGAAAGCATGCTGGAAGGAGGGAGAAAATCACATATGCCACAATCAAGCTTATTTTTATGAAACATAGAAATAGCTATTTTTGAACGTATCATTTGTGCCAATAGAATTATTTTTAAAAGAATTTAGAATATAAAAAAATCAAAGTTTTCATTTTTTAATTCTTTTAACGTTCAAAAGCGTTGAATTTATTAAAAAGTTAAATTTTTAAGACAGGACTCGGATAAAATTCCGGAGGAAACGTACGTCAAGCCGAATGAAAAAACAATGATATTTCTCAAAGAATGGTAAAACTTCTTTTGGAATGCAATAAGAGTTTTTTATAGCTATCTGTTGAAATCTGCGATTCTTACCGTGTTTGGCAGTCATTCTGTCACAGAAATTCTCTAGAACGACTAAAATTCTAATTCATATAACCTGAGAATGAATGTAGATGCTTAAAGATCATCTACAGGATATATATTTTAAACCCAACTAAGAAACAAATAATCTAAATGTGTAGAGTCATTAGGATGGTTTTTGAGAGCAAAAGGACTGAAAAATGAGCAATGCCCTCGCCGGGCCTCGAACCACGGACATCTCGAACACGCGCCGATTGTGCTGGCCATTACACCACGAAGGCATGCTAAGAAGACGGAAGAAGCACCTTATAAATGTATATTTAGAAATTAAAATAATATTGAAAAATTATATTTGAATTATAAAAACTAATAATTAAATATTTTAAAAATTCATTAAAACCTGGAAGTGAATGTTTGGGTGTTTTGATTCAGTCATAGTTAACTGACTTTTCTGTTGAGGTGGATGATGGAATTAGGTTAAATTAGTTAGGCATTTTGTTAACATTTATTCTATAAAAGTAAATTTTCACTTCCAAAAGATATTCAAATATGTTTCCTCATTTTAGTTCGTCTTTCATCGCTAATAAGAAATATGCTTTAAAAATAACAACAAAAGGGTTTTCCATTTTTTATAATAAAAATGATATCTGTACTAACTTTCAGAAGCAATATACTATTTTAGATCATTAAAATTTCATATCATCATAGCTCATATTTACTAGAGAAAGTACTTTTTTCTTCGCTGCTATATTTTTATATCTAAATCCATAGCTGCTACAGAAATTTTGCGACAAATAGAAATGACCCAACATGATATTTTAAGTATTAAAAAATAAAAAGAGAAGTAATCTGTCATGGCAGTGGGCTGATGTATGCGAGGGAAAATAGAACACATAGGGAAAATAAAACAAATAACTCCTCTCAATAAAGCTTACTTATCTCCTTCAAGGAAAACAGTAAAAATACAGTCCACGCTAAATAACACAAAATGTATTAATGAAAACGTTATTTTCGTCAAACTAATAAAAACGGATTGTAGGTTTTTGGCTTGCTTTGGGATCATAAATTAATTCCCAATTCCTAACAAACATAAAGCGAATTATTGCTGTGTATGAAATAATTACAGAGACTTGAAAAGGTTAAATATTTTTATTTACCGGAACTTAGAACACAAAATATTCTTCTTGCAATGCAACTTGTGGCGATGCAACTAAAGTCACAGGCAAATTCAAAATGTTAAACGTAGACTAGTATTTAAAGACTACACAACTGAATTTAAATCTAAGTTGGCTCCAAATCTCTCTGCAACAATTCACAAATCCGCAGCAATAACTGAAAGCCGAATAATCACAAAAATATCAGAGCTATAGGAATACGAAACGTGGCCACAAAAAGCAAAAACACGCTATGTCTTAAATTCAAAAACCTCACCTTAAATACTCTCTTTCTCAATTTACACTTCTGATGAGGAAATGGAAAGAAGAAGTTCTAGTATATGTTTAATTTATAAATAAATGATTAATTTAAATAATAGCCTTACAGAGTAACAAGAGATAATTATTAAAAAATAAAACAAAATAATTTAGTTTTTGTTTACTATTCATTTCACACGAATATGTACAAATGAGTACATAGTTTTAGTAATATATATACAATACCATACAATATTACATTAGTGTTTTCTTGTACTTGCAGATGGAGCTGTCATCACACCATTTCTTACAGTCTATTTCAAGCAGCGCGGACTTGCTCTGTCAGAGCTGTCAATAATATACATGATAGCTCCTGTAGTCCAGTTTATAGGAACAACTTTATCTGGGGTAATAGCAGATAAAATAGGCCGATCTAAACCAGTTCTTATAGGTAATCTAATTCTTACAATGGTTTTTGTTGCTGGTATGCTTATAGTACCAAGAATGAGCACCGAAAGTTGTGAATCATATTCATTCAATTTTGAATGCGATCAACAAACCTTGGGTAGACTGAATGTAAAAACTCGCTCTGAAGTTACAGAATATACTATGGAAGCAAACTTTTGTAAAATTTCATGCCCTGAAAATGTTACACAATCATGCCCTGCAGATAATATCATGTGTATCGAATTAGCAGAAAAACAAAATTTTGTGAATTTGTCTATGTCTGTTCCCATTAATGGTACTTATAGAAAAAATAACGAAACTTTTGATCACCTTCTTTCTCAAATGCATAAAAATGCAACTTTTTCTTGGTGTAATGAGTCACAAAAACGAAACTGTACTATAAGCTGCACGTTTTTATCCGATGAAAAGTGTGCATGGGAAGCTGGATACAGATGGAAAGTCTTGGTTGCGAACATCATGTTGTTTGTTCTTTATCTAACTGCGTACTCCAATTGCTATCGTATTCTAGATGTTACTTCAATGTCTTTAGTGAAGGAACATAACTCTGATTTCGGGCGAGAACGTTTCTTTTCCATTCTTGGTATCTTAGTATTCTCTCCCATTGCCGGATACGTCGTTGACGCAAGCACAACTTCAGGAAATGAAAAGAATTATGCATCTGCCCTGTATTTTTTTATAGGAGTGCTACTTGTAACTTTAGCCGTTATTTGTAAACTTAAAGTGAAAACTGAACCTCCAGGAAAAAATATGCGGAGAAAGACAGTTTACTTGATTCAGAATGTTGATGTGATTTCCTTTATTTTAGTTATTTTTGTTCTTGGCACCTCATGGAATTTTACGAAGAACTTTACGAATTGGTTTCTGGTAGAGCTAGACACACCTGGCTTTTTACTAGGATTAATTCCAGCTGCAAGTAGCTTGTATGGGCTTCCATTTTTACTTACCACCAATTGGTGGGTAAAGAAATTAGGCTCTTCTAACCTATTCATATTAGCTCTTTTAGCGTATGTTGTAAGCGCGCTTGGATATTCTTTTCTGTACGATCCGTGGTTTGCCCTTCTATTAGAATTTACTTCAGTATTCACCTATCATATGTTATGGGTAGCTGTAGTTATTCATAGCCACGATATAGCACCTGAAGGTCTTACAGCAACGGTTATTTCGACAGCTGGAGCTATTCATTACAGCATAGGTAAGCAATTTAATATATCTGTTACAAATAAGGAATCAGTTTACATATTTCTACACTAATTTGAAAATACTAAATATCCCAATCTGAGCTTAAAAATTACAAATTTTTATGTCTCTATTACTTCCATTTTGTTGTCGTTTTTAAGTTTATTTCAAAAATATTAAGTTCTGCTTCAGTATCAAAAATATTTTTCATTATTTGTAGTATTGATCACTAGCAGACGTTTCTTCTTAAGAAAATGATACTGCGTTAGTTTTCTCCTTGTTGATCAGGTACATACTCAAATCATTATGGTTGTTTAAACATTTTTGTGTGGACAGACACATTATGTAGTGTAATTTAAGATAAACGACGCCCTTTAAATATTAAGACAAATATGTCACTAAACCTTATGAGGAACATAGATAACATTAAACATTGTACTAAGTTGGCAAGTATGATTTGAAATTGTATAATTTCGAAATTGATTAAAGACAAATTCTGAATCATCTAAATTATTATAGTTTAGTTTGCTTAAAATTATATAGGTAAGATTTATTGTTACAAAATTAACTTGTTTTCATCATTTAATGCATCTTTATACCATGCTAACCAAACTTTATTATTTAGTCACTCAAAATGCATAAACTAAATCTAATCTGCTTGGAGATTCAACGAAGACCGCTATTATCCTGCTGTAATAAAGCCGGGGATGTCAATTTCAAAGCATCATTTCCACTGTTTGTTCTCCTTTGTAGATGCTATGAGTACATCCACAAGTGTAGCTACCTAAGATATATTTGTAGATTTACTTGTAGCTTATTTATAATGGCAATTTAGGTGAACTCAAGAATTTTAGAAAATTTAGATTTCTTAGTTTAATCAAAGATAGATACTATTTGACAAAATATGACAGCAGACATTGACACATCCTATCCCAAATGAAATCAAATCTCACATAGCTTGTTGAAATTTCATACATTTTAGAATGAGGCAGAGGTTGGCACAAACATAACCAGCAGTTTTCATATCGACGGATAAAGAAACAGTTGCTTCAAGTTCAGTGGTCTGTTTGGTCAACTTACTGTGTTGCTATTTTATTTTCTTCGAAACCTTTGAAATTACTATTTTCACAACGATGTCGTATGTACGAGGGCTATTCAGAAGGTAACTTAACGTTTCGCAGCTGCACGGCGAGAGATGGCGCTAGTATCCTCTTCTTGAAGTCCGAGTGTCTACTGAAACCTTACGCATTCGGTTGTAATCGTTAAGCGGTGTGTCTTGCCTCTGCTTAGTTCACTGTGAATTATTAAAATGTGTGCGGCAGTAGAAATTCCCGCCAATTTTGAAGCGCGATCAGTGATTAGATTTTTGTTCGCAAAAAACTGAAACCATTTGAAATTCATCAGGAACATTGTACAGCGTATGGAAACAAATTAATGAGGGAAAGCGGAGTGAGACAATGGTGCATCATGATAAAAAATAGCCACACTAATATTCACAAGGAAGCGCGAAGTGGCCGAGCATTGTTAATGATGAACTGGTAGAGAAAATCGACGAAAAGGTTGGCGAAAACGGCCACTCCAGAATTTCAGAGCTCTAGGTTTTTTTTTTCTTTTTTTTTTCCAAATTTCACGAACTTTCTTGTTTGGTGTTGTGACGCATGATCTAGGACGCACACCCCCATACAGCCATTCAAATTCGACGCCTCTTGGATGATATCAGATGGGAGTTATTTAGTCATCTACCGTACAGTCCGGACTTTGCTCCTAGTGATTTCCACTTGCTTCCGCACATGAAGACCTGTCTTGCAACATAGAACTTTGACGATGACTAGGAGCTGCATGCAGGAGTCCGTACATGGTTTAAGTCTCAGACGGCAATATTCTGTCACGATGCAATTAACAAGCACGTGTACCGTTATGATAAATTTCTTAATTTGTACGAAGATTATGTAGAAAAATAGCTAAATAATGTGTCTTTCGAATGTAATAAAAATGTTTCCTTAATTTTTTTTAAATTCTAAAACGTAAGTTACTTTCTGAATAGCCTACGTATATTGCTTATTTCATTTTTAAATACATCCACGCTTTTACGTCTGCTAAGTATTAACTCTCTTAATGGCAAAATTCAGGTGAATTCTCGTATCGACCGCTTTTCAGGTAATTGACTTTATAATAATAAAATAAATAATTCAGCTTTTACGATATAGCATCAAAGGGAAGGGTGCACTTATTTGGCAGTTTCTCTTCAGCAAATATTGAAGGCAATGATTTTTAAATAGACTGCAATTAAAATTCTGGGTAGATCAAATGCATCATTTTGAAATGACAGCGTACTCAAGAAGACTATGTTTTGGTGTCAAATAACAGTAATAAACGATTCTTTTAAATGGATCGTGTTCAGTTAAAATTTATGGGATAAGAATTTCTTAATTTTCTGCGACTAAGTAATAAAATGTGATCATATTACCTACTATAACAATAATTATCGGTAGAACATATTTCCAATTAATATACTTGTATATATGAATTTGCTACGTATGTAAATATGATTATCCAGCAATAATGAATTAATCTGTTTTCTCAGGCAAGGGCATAGGCAGTCTTATAGGCGGATTGATAATGGATGCTTATGGAGGAAGAACTGCATTTAGAGTTATTGCCATTATTTGCCTGGTTGCTGCAGTTTTATATGGATTTTATGTGTACATACGTCTCTCTTATTTCAGAACAAAACATTACTTTAGTAAGAAAGGTGAGTATCATGTTCAAAACATAAAACATGAAGCCTAGAAATGGTTAATCTTGAATTTCGATGGCAATCTGAAATAATATCTCAGGTTTATTTTTAGTTGAAAAGAATAGTTAATAATTATTATTCACCGTAATGAAGTGAATATTCTGAAATATTTGTACAGCAACAGAAAATTAAAACCTTGTAATAGAAGAATCAAGGTACTGTTTAGTGCCTGCCTGTTCGTCAGAAAATGTTAATATTTTGTGAAAATCTTCATTATATGACCCCTTGTAACTTTTTAGAGGAAGTAATACCTCGCATAAAATGTGAAAATTCGACTAAAAGAATTCATGAAAATGAATTAAGAAACATGTTTTTTGTACATACACGAAAGAATTTTCATTTCCAGGTTCGAAATTTAGTTAGCCAAAATTGTAATAGTACTTAAAATATATATTGATTTTTTATTTACTTATTAGTACGTGCAAAACAATGATTTTTAACTACGTAGCATATACGTCAGCGACACACTTTTCTTTCCACATTTTAACTTTTGATAATTAAAACTTCCAACAAAAGAAACCAACATGACGTTGAAACGTTGAAGATATAATTTCTAACATTCAAACAGGAAATTTAAATTTAAGTATTTTAGTTGATGATACAAAGAAATCATTAAACTAATTCAACAGCTTTTAGGATTCGAAAATCTTTGCTGAATACCTTGTAAAAATTTTAAATAGATTATATTATTCTTACAAGGTAAAAAATGGGAATATTCTATGAGACCAGTGAAAGTAGATGAAAAAAATCTGATGTGTACACCACATGACTTCCTTGTACGAAATATTAAATTAAATTATATTATTTTTCTTGCATTTCATTAAGCTTATTAGATTGAATTGAATTTACTTCGTCGAGAGAGCATAACCCACAATAGAATAAATTCACTCTTTAAATTTACTACATTTGCTTACCATAGCGACACTCTGGCGCTAGGTTCATATAACAGCGTTATATTTCGTTCATACTATAACTCAGAATGCACAAAATTTATATCATTTGAAGAATTATCTAATCGTTGCCACATGTTCTATTCAAATACTATAATAAATCTAGAACGATGTATTAAAAAAATTAAGAAAAAAAAAGAAACAGTTTTTTTACAGACGATTCAGTAATTCGCATTCAGTTCTCACTTCGCGACAAGGTAAAAATACATAAAAACTCAAAATATCTAGATTAAAAATTATGAAGCAAATCTTAAACACTTATTTCCTCGAAAAAATTCCAGAAAGGATTAAGCATGATTTAGTTCGCAAAAATAAATGAAGGCATTATCTTTGTTGTTCCGAAGCTTAGGCTCCCTAGATTGGCAACAAATCTACTATTCTGCTGTTTCAAATGTAAACAAACATGTCCACCATGTTATTTATAAATTAGGCTTAAACGCACTTAAACAGCTCTTAAACTGTTGATAATTCTATAAATTGCAGATTTCCTAAAGGATAAAAACCTTAACCGGAAGATAAGAACAACATAATTCAATCATTTTTAAAGCAAAAAATGCACAATTTACAAACATATAAGAATAAAGAAACCGAGATCATTGAGCCGGGTAACAGAGTGGATATATTATATACGTTTGGTGCGGCCGATTGCAACCAAAACACGAGGTGCACATCTATATGTTATAGCAGTCCCTATATACAAAATTTCAACGTTCTGAGGCTACTCTTTTTTGAGTTATGCGAGATACATACGTATGTTCGTACGTACAGATGCCACGAAACATTCTCTTCAGAATTCATTTTAAAGCAGTTTTATAATTTTTTTGGAGAAAAAGTCTTTTATTCTGTCCTTACGTACAGATATCACGCAAATACATCGTTAAATTGCATTCTATAGCGGCCAAAATGGATATTTTCGTTGAAATATGCTGCCTGAAACTTTTCGTGATTACGAAACTTCCTTTTTACTTCATACAAGGGAGTAAAAATGGGATTACATTTAAATATTTTTACATATAAATACTCTATCAGACAAACTAAGGTCAGAATGCATCCCTAGGATAAAACTATTCTAAACCAGGGGTAATCAACCTTTTCATACCTATCGCCCACTAACAATATTTCTACACCGCCTACCTTTTCACAGTAATTTAATAAAGTGGAACTGCACAGAAGTTTTTAAGTAGAGGATTACTAAATAAATGTATAGTTAAATATATCCATTCATTTATACTATAATTTAGAATATTATACTTTTAATATGCATAAAATTAACAAACAGCAAAGCCGTATAAATATACGGAAACAGGAGAGCACTGCGCAGATAGGAATGGTCAAGTAGAGAATTGAACTTTAAGGGGTTTATATATCTATTACATCCACGCGTGTTTCGATCTTCCTTGATCATTACGAGACAAAAACCTCCGCTTCCCACCGTGAAAGCTGACCAGGTTGGGTATCCCTGCTCTAAATGAAACAGCGGCATTTTAAGCGATGTAAGAACTGGGAACCTTAATTATTCTCGGTGTACGTTCCGTTGTTAAAAATAGTGGACTGTAAATTAACTTGATGTTACTTCAGTATAGAACCCAAAAAACCTCAGACTCCTAACTTGACCGAAACTTCTTTATTGACTTTCAAATAGTAAGTTAGGCGAAGAGGAACGGCGAAGACCACATAAACTCTGACTTCAGTGGCGGCTTACCAACACAAACTCAGAAGAACCTCTGCTTAGTTGAAACTCCAGTAATTCACAGCAACCTCGAAGCTCTAACCGCGAGCTTTAAAAAACCTAACAATTTGAGTCTGCGCCGCTCCTCGGTACAAAGAAAGAAATACAATTTGCATAACATCGAACATACCCCCAGCCTTGAAGTCCCAAGGGGACTCAAACAATAAATTTAAACTGTTGAACTGCATAAACCTAAAAAAAAAATTAAAGTCTCTAAATCAAGAATTAAATGGCAAAGCGCATAGCTTTGCTATAGGTCGTTTTATTTCACCATTAGACGTGCGTAAACTCACCACTCGAACTTTCTCATCCAGACCGGGATGCACTTTAATAATTCTACCTAATTTCCAACGTAGCGGAGGTAGATTTTCGTTCTTAATAAGAACCATATCACCAATCTTCAGGTCTTGTTGTACCTTGCACCACTTGGGTCTCTGCTGCAATCTAGATAAATACTCACTGCTCCAACGATTCCAGAAATGTTGAAATAACCTTTGCACGTTCCTCCAACGGTCACTGCAGCTCATGGTTTCTTGAATTTGGTTAGATTCTGGAATAGCGCTTAAAGCCGCTCCGGTTAAAAAGTGTCCTGGTGTTATCGCCTCCAAGTCGCTACAATCACTTGAAGCTGGTACTAAAGGCCTAGAATTAAGACAGGATTCAATTTGGGTTATTAATGTCAAAAATTCCTCGTATGTTAAAATAAGTGTTCCTAAACATCTTTTTTAAGTGATGTTTCATATAGACTTGATACCCGCTTCCCAAAGCCCTCCAAAATGAGGGGCAGAGGGAGGATTAAACAATCATTTAATATTTTCTGAAGAAATATAACCCTGTAGCTGTTTCATCACGTTTGAACAATAGAAAAGGCTTTCCTTAATTCTTTATTAGCTCCTATAAAATTCGTTGCACAATCACTGAATTTCACACGGTTTGCCCCTACGAGCTATAAACCGCTTAAGTGTCGCGAGGAATGATTTTGTTGAAAGATCTCCAACTAATTCTAAATGTATTGCTCTTGTAGCAAAACAAATAAATAGACATATGTAACACTTAAAGATTTTAACTCCTCTACCAGGACGATATTTAACGTTAAATGGTCCTGCTAAATCAATCCTTACACGAGAAAATGCTCTACTTTGAGTAACTCTTGAAGCTGGTAAATCTGCCATTAGTTGAGTTGCAGTTTGCGCTCTAAATCTATGGCAGATAATACATTGGTTTATACACTTTCTTATAATATTTCTAGCACTGACAATCCAAAATCTATGTCGTATGACAGAAAGTGAGTAGCTGCGTACCTGCGTGAAGATACGAGTCATGATAATGCTTAATAATTAAACGCGTAATATTGTGATTCTTAGGTAAAATCATAGGATGTTTCTGATTATTTGAAACTGTAGAGTTTCTTGAGCCTTCCGCCTACACGCATTACTCCTGCGGAATCCAAGAAAGGACTTAAAGACAGTATGTAGTTTACTTGATGTCTTCAAGGGTTTACCAGATTCTAAACAGAATATTTAATTCTGGAAATTCGGCTCTTTGCACAATCCTAACAATCATAGAAGTAACTTCACAGAATTCAGTAGATAAATAACCCTTTATACGCTCTGTAGGTAACTTGCTACAATTATTTCTAAATCTTAAACACCACGCTAACACCCGACATACTTAACCTAACCATGACGAAATCTTGAAAACACACTAGGCTCTTCAAATTTGGAAGCATTTGAACTGAAACTTTTTTCAATTCCTTCAACATAACTTTTCACCCTCTAATTCTACACTTGAATTTTGCTGTACATGAATTAACGGATTCGTTTAACCCACTGCGGTCCCTTCATCTATAACTCACATTGTAGGAATTCTGATGGAATAAAAACCTCTGGTCCCACAGTCTCTGCAGGATTTTCTTTCCCAGCAACATAATTCCATTGAATACCTGGAACAGCTTCCTGTCGATTTGCCACAAAAGGTAGCCAACGGCGAGGTTTCGGACGAAACCCATGCCAATGTAACCCGCGAGTCTGTCCATGCGTAAATATTGTTAATAGGCAGTTCTATGCATGATAATACTGCATGTAAGAGGTTGCTAAAAGTAACGCAGCACACAACTCTAGTCTCGGAAGAGACTGGGTTTTTAAGGGCGCTACTCTGGTTTTCGATGTCAGAAAGGCTGACTTTGACTGACGAATCAAGGTCGATTGTACGGATAGATGACTGCACAATAAGCCTTTTCTGAAGCGTCGCAGAAAGCATGGATATATCTATCACTACTGCCTTCGGACTCAAGACATACCTCCGAAATTGTAAGCATGAAAGTAAGGGTAATTCTAGATAGAAACGCTTCCATTTTCTACTTATTCTCTTATCAACAAGTTCATCCCAACCAGCTGTAAGTTCCATAACCTTGTAATAATATTTTCGTGTATTATTGTTGGCGCTAACCATCCCATTGGATCAAAGATTTTCGCTACTTCTGATAAAATAGTCCTCTTAGTAAACTATCACTTATGCATACCGAAAAGTGAAACGTATCACTAGAGTTGTTCCAATTAATTCCCAATACTTTTACTTTCTTGTCACTGTTTATTTCAAGAGAAATATTGGATTCTCGTAAGCACTCGGGAATATTCTCTAAAATAGCTGAATTGTTTGAAATCCACTTCCTTAAGCGAAATCCACCCCTTTTCATCATTTCATTCAACTGCTGAACTAGAACATTCGCTTCCTCTTCACTTTGTGCCCCTGAAAGCAAATCATCAACATAAAAATCACGAAGGGCAATTTTTGATGCTAAAGGAAAATCTAACTTGTTCATCTAATGCAAGTTGTTTCATTACTCTAGTAGACAAATACGGCGCACAGGCAGTCCCATATGTAACTGTCACTAATCTAAATGTACTCAAGGGCTCACTAGGACTATCCCTCCAAAGCATTCGTTGCCAATTTGTATCTTCTGGGTGGACACGAATTTGTCTGAACATCTTCTCTACATCGGCACATACTGAAGTTTTGCGAGTTCTAAACCGTAGAAGAATTGGAAACAGCTCTTGCTGAACTCTTGGACCAACCATCAAAATATCATTCAATGAAAGACCCGATGTCGTTTTAGCTGAAGCATCGAAAACAACTCTCAGTTTAGTCGTAGTACTTGATTCCTTTAATACGGCATGATGAGGCATGTAATACGTAGAGTCAATAAGAATCTCTCCCTCAGGCACTCCCTCCATATGTCTCAGCTCAAGGTATTCCCTCATGAAATCCCTATACTGTTCATATATCTGAGGCCTTTTTAGAAGTGAATTTTCTAAAGATTGGAATCTACGCATAGCTAATTGTCTGGAATCTCCAAGCTGAGAAGGCGGAGAGTGAGACGGTAATTTCACAGTATATACCCAACTTTCCTCTCTCGTATATGTAGATTTGAAATAATCTTCACATGCTCTCTCCGATTTAGTAAGCATGTCAAACGTAGGTACAGCATCCAATTTCCAAAAGTCAGACAGCATCTGATCAGTTTCCACTTGTATATTATTAACATAGATAGTAGGATTAATTTCTGTTGAATTATTCACACTACCTGAAACAATCCATCCTAGTTCAGAACGAGAAGCTACCGGTTTTACCTTCTTCGCATTTAATTATTTCTCCCTTTAAAAGAGGTAAGGCAATATCTACGCCTAAAAGTATATCAACAGGCCCACTTTTGTAAAATGTTGGATCTGCTAACATTAAATCATTATATTCCTCAACGTACTTCTTATCCAATGTAAAATGCGGCAAAGTTCCAATAATTCTATTGATGATAAATACTCTGGTGTTTTAAAATGACACTTTCGTCGGAAAAATGCGGAACGAAGTTTATTTCCGTAATTCCATTAGTTTTCGTATCCAAAGACCCTAAACATGAAATAAAAACTTTGGCATTTCTTCTTGCTAACCCTAGCCTTTGTACACAATCTTCTGAAATCAGGCTTGCTTGACTGCCAGGGTCAAGGAGGGCTCTACACAATTGGTATTCACCCGATGAAATCTAACACTTTAATAACAGCCGTACATAATAAAACTTCACTCTGAAAATTAAAGTCTGAAACACAAGATTTAATTACTGGACTAGAACTTGCGATATTCTTCCTGACCCAGCCGATTGAGCGTTCGAAAATTCGAAGGTTCTGGCCCAGGGAAAAATGTTCGCCGTTCATTCGAACTGTTCGCCTGTTCGAACTCCTTTTCGAATTCGAATTCGAAATTCGAACTGTTCGAAACTGTTCGAAACTCCTTTCATTCGAACTGTTCGAAACTCCTTTCATTCGAACTGTTCGAAACTCCTTTCATTCGAACTGTTCGAAACTCCTTTCATTCGAACTGTTCGAAACTCCTTTCATTCGAACTGTTCGAAACTCCTTTCATTCGAACTGTTCGAAACTCCTTTCATTCGAACTGTTCGAAACTCCTTTCATTCGAACTGTTCGAAACTCCTTTCATTCGAACTGTTCGAAACTCCTTTCATTCGAACTGTTCGAAACTCCTTTAAGTGCCTTTGGTTCATTTTGAACTCTTTCGAAATGCAGTAGTGTGTGATGATTTTTAAAGCACTTTTTACATTTATGTGTACTTCTACACCCGAAAGCTTTATGGTTTGAAACTAAACAATTAAGACAAGCATTATTTCTTTTGACAAAATTAACGCGTTCCTGCACATTCAGATTTAAAAACTCATTACATTTAAAAACTGAATGACCGGCTTTACAATACGTACACTGCGCGCGAATCTCTGAAGCCAATGAAGTTAATTTGTCTTTTGTAACTTGTTTTTTTAACACCTTGCGGTTTACCTGCTTGCAATGTTCTGGCATGAGATTTCAAGAACTCTAGCAGATTATTAAGTGTTGGTATTTCTCTCACTCTTTAATGTTCTTTCCCCACCATCCTCTCGTCGAAGAATCCAATTTAAACTGTACTATTAACATTAAAATAGTATCCGCGAATTGCTCCACTTTGAATCCTAGATTTTCAAACGAACATACACACTCTCTTACAGTGTCTACTAACGCTAATATCTGACTAGGAATTTCAGATTGTAAATTTGATAAATACAAGATTTTCTTTAATAACGATGAAAGTAATTCTCTCTTATGTGAAAATCTTTGGACACAATAAATGCCACGCTATTTCGAAATTCCTAGTCACAAATAGTTAAAGCTTGAACAATCCGCAAAGCATCTCCTTTTCTAAAGAACCCTTTAAATATTGTAGGCTTTTGTGCACCTGATAAACGGTCATTATCCACTATCGCCATTTTAAATAAATCAAAAAATGATAACCATTCTTCAGCATTGCCACTAAATACAGGAAGAGTTAGCCTAGGTAAGCGTATACTCGCTATTTCACAAGATTTAAGTTTCCACACTAATATCTTTAACATTCTTAACTCTGGTTAGCATTAAAATTAGCTCATCAACAGTATCTTGTATGACCTGCTGTTCTTCTATAAATACATTCAATATCTTTTTTCTTCACACACTACAAATATGTTACTAAAAATATCCGAAAGTTCGGTCATTAAGTCATTTAATCTAGATTTAAAAAGTTCCAACTGATCAACATCAGCAGAATCGTAAGTCACTGTAATTTTCTCTTTCAGTTTACTTAACTTAGCTACACGCTTTTTAGTCTTAAGCGTTGTAAATTCCATTATCTAATAAGAAAGATAAAAAAACACACTGACTCACCAAATTTACTGTGACTCCGTAGCCGACGGACCATAAAACATGTACGTTCCGTTGTTAAAAATAGTGGACTGTAAATTAACTTGATGTTACTTCAGTATAGAACCCAAAAAACCTCAGACTCCTAACTTGACCGAAACTTCTTTATTGACTTTCAAATAGTAAGTTAGGCGAAGAGGAACGGCGAAGACCACACAAACTCCGACTTCAGTGGCGGCTTACCAAAACAAACTCAGAAGAACCTCTGCTTAGTTGAAACTCCAGTAATTCACAGCAACCTCGAAGCTCTAACCGCGAGCTTTAAAAACCTAACAAATTTGCGTCTGCGCCGCTCCTCGGTACAAAGAAAGAAATACAATTTGCATAACATAGAACACTCGGTCTCATGTTGCTGTATTCTTTTGTATACATTTCATGTTCCTCTATGCAATATCTCGAACACTTACTTTATAAATATTTCTAATTTATGTTAACTAAAATATGAGTTAGATTTCTGGTAAATTTCTCAAACAAGAGTTGTTATATTAATATGTACTTTTTAGATGAAATTTGAGCGATTTAAGAAATGCATACTCATGCAACGTTATATGCATTGTTTTTGAGAGTTTAGAAACTGAAGAAGGAAAGTGATGAATATCATTCTGAATCTTTTAGTGAATTTACATACAGGAAATAGTTTTTATCTTCTATCCATACAACTAAATGCTAATAGGAATGCTTAAAGCATTTTGAATTTTAATAGTAAAATATAGCACAGTCTCTAAAATTGAAAGGTAATCAATGTTTAGAGAAAATACAATTTTCCCATTTAGTTATTTTGCAGTAACCCTTGTTTATGTAATAATTCTTAGATGCAATATTAATTATTGTACTTGAATATCGTAAAAAAATCCAACTTTTGCAGATGTTAACGGAAGCGCTGGATGCAAGAAAGTAACGAAAGAGTTATACACTCCAAGAAATGGAAGCTAGTATTAAAAGCATTGCTTTCGTATTTATAGAAGAACAGAAGACTGAAGAAGTATTTTTTGCCAAAGCATTTTGTAGTAAATGTGATATTATTTAAATAACTTAGCACTTCTTAGTTCATTAATTTTAAATAAAAAGTTATGTTGATTAATGTCATTATCATTTTTTAAGTTGATTTCTAATAAAATAAGATTATATACATATAGTTTATTATCTTTTCTTAGAAAAAATGTGAATTCAACATATTTATTGTACTTCATTTCTTTAAGTTCCTTGAATGCACTAATTAATTTAATTAATTAACTAATTAATTTTAATGCACTAATTAATTTTTAGTTCCTTGAAAATTAATTTAAGTTTCCAGAAAATCAAAATTTCAATCGGTCATATAGTACATTTTATTAGATATGTATCAATACGTTATAGGTTTTTAATTATATTCTATATTGGTTTAATAGAAGGCAACCTATGGCTACTATGCTAGGCTTGGCACGTGGAGCGTTGTTACTTGGCACTTGGAGCGATGTTACTTGCCACACTGTGTGATGAAATAAAGTCCCATAAAAAATTATATTTTACTTAAATAATAGCATATAATTTTAAGGTATTCCAGTAGCTATATCCCATTTAAGCAAGAATACTTAGCATTAGAAGTGGGGTCACAATATAACTCGCAGATCTATTAAATTAAAGCATCATTCTCCTTATCTTGACAAGCATCGTTATTTGAAGAAGTTGCGTTTTCTCATTTTTTGGATGCTAACGTATTCATGTGCATAAAGTTTGTCACATATGAATGTTGATTTGAGCCCATAGAGAACTAATCTGACATTACAGAACTAATCTAACATCTGTGTATTCCGAATTCTGTAAGAAGTTGAACTCACAAAATATACATATGATGCTACTGAACACTGAATTAAGTATTTTCAAAGCCAAGGGTCTTATTAATTTATTTATTATAGACAAAAGTAGTTAGTGATTACTCTTATTTAAGTTTTAATGAGCTGTTTTAAATCCGATTTATTGAACTGTTTTTTTTTCATTAAACTGCAGAGCTTTATAATATAACATAAAATTGCCGAAATTAGTTATTGAACAATTCAATGTCACATTAGAAATGTTTCAGAAATTTTGGATTCAGTTCGAAAGCTTAATAAATGACTCAGTAAATTTTAAAAAAAATTATATGTCTTGAATCTATTTTGATAGGATCTACAATCATTGTTATACAAGGGTTACTTATTTCGGATATGATATAGTTATGATACAGCTACTGAAGTTTTAAAAGAAAGCCGCTGGGATCGTAAGGAGATCAAACTTCAGTTGCACATGAATAATCTGAAGTTGCACCTTATAGGTTCTGCAAGTAACATAAAATACTAGCTCCGAAAGTTGTGCAATGATACTGAAATCATACAATGTGCAATGATACTTTCCAAATCCAAATCAGAAGTCTAGAATAATTGAGAATAGAGCTTAATTACCACGGTAGTTTGTTATTTTTCCTGTTTATTACACTGATTCCAGATAACATTGCTTTAGAATTTAGCAGATATTATAATGAAGATAAAGCATGTAATGTACCAGAGTTACTGAAATCGGAAATCGAAAACAGAAAACGAAAGTAGGTATTTCAAAACAAAATAGAGGGCGAACACACACTTAAGAAGACTGAATATTTGATCGTTAAACTAAGCATTTGTAATTTTTCATCTCAGAGAAAGAGCGTTCGCCGGAAATGGTGAAAAGAGAATTTTGACTGCTATGATCGTAAGTGCGATAAATGAATTGTGTACATTTTGTGCTAACTCGGAATATAAATTCGAAAACTGCGTAAAGTCACTATAACAAGCAAAACAAAAGAAAACAAAATAAAAGCTTTCAGCTTTTAGATTTTATATTACATCCAACGAGGCGTTTTTTTTAAAGTTTTGTGTGTTACCTTTATTCATTAAACGTCATGGTCTTCGCACTTAAACACCATAAAATTCAGTCCAACAGCAATATCACAAAATATTTTTAAAAAGCATATCTTTAGAATTTTCGATAGACAGCCTCGCGTTCTGGAGATAAAAATGTTCTATTCTATACAGTGTTGCCATTACTCGTTTTGAAATCGTGGAGTTTGTTAATAAAAAATTCGTTAAAGTTTTACGAAATATGAGACAGATAATTAAAAAAAATCGAAATTAAACTTCCAGGTTTCCGGGTGCCTATGTTCAGGTAGAGGATTATGTAATTCAAAATTTGATGGCTCATTGTGTACCAACGTTTTTTACCATGCGAAAAATATGCATACATTCATGTAGATTCTTTATTACTCAATTTCTTTAAATATAATACAGGGTGATAATGTTTGGTGGCAACATTTTGCAAAGTGACTCAGACTTTTAGCGTGATTCCACGCAAAATGTCGTTTCGAGACCAATAGCTCTTTTGGGCTAACGCTCCTTTGGGCTAAAAAGGATCTTAAAAACAACGGAAGTTGTTTTTATTTGTCCAAAAAAAGTTATTTAGCTCGTTAGTGCAAATCCAAAAAAATTTTGTAAACACAAACACAGCGGTCTATTTTATTGCAACTCTGAGCTGTTTTCAAAGTTTAAAGAGAAAGATTTGTCTTTTACTACGTCTACATCGTGCAATGCGGTATTATTACAGAATGACACAGTAGGTATAAACAGACAAGGGAGTAAATTTTATACAAGCAGTAATAAGGAATTTAATACATATTAAAAAACTAAATGTGTTCATAAACTAGGAAAGATAATTTAAGTGTTATAATTGTTTAGAATATGGTCGTCCTTCGCCAACTATTGCTTTAAACTGAAAGTTATTCCTACATGTAAAAATTGTAATGAATGAATCAGGCCACACCCCAAAACACTGAATACTGTAAAAAAAAACTGAAAGTTTTTTCAGATTTTATATAAAGCCCAAACGGGTGTTTTATTATTGACAGACAAATACATGTTTCGAGAGCATTTGAGCCAACATCACATTGTGCTAAAATATTTAAAAACAGCGCATCTTTAGAATCTCCGGTAGATAGATAGTCTTGCACATTGGAGTTAAAAATGTTTTATTCCCTACAGTGCTTATTCGATTTGAAATAGTTTTTTAAAGGAAAAATTCGTTTAAGTTTTACAAAATATGAAATAGACAATAAAACAAACACAGAATTCCAATTTCGGGCTTCCAAGGCCCCATGTTTGTGTGGAGGATTATGTTATTCAAAATTTGATGACTCTAGATGCCGTTTTTTTTTCACTAAGCGAGGAGCATGCAAGCATTCATGTAGATTCTTCACTATTTAGTTCCTTTAAATATAATATAGGGCAAATAATAATAATATAATAATAATAATATTTGTGGCAACCATTTGAAAAGCGTGTCGGATATTTAAAGTGATTCAACGCAAAGTGCCTTTTTAAGATTAATAGCCTTTTTTGGATAACGCCATTTGGGCTAAAAAGGAATTAGTACTGTTTTTAGAATATTTATAATGAAAGTCAAAAGAAATATACTATTCCTAAAATTCAAATATTTTGGAATATTAAGTTGAATTAAGAAGCTTAATTTAATTTATGACTATTAATTACAGTAAAATAGAAAATTAATTTTAAGATTGCATATTTTAAAATATTAAACATGAGAAATCTGTGTCTCGTCCATTACCATGCTTCATTATACTACAAAATGCACTTTTTCTTCCAGTAAATTACGAAACATTGTCTCTTTGAACGGAGAACCTGATAAAATTGGAAGTCATATGCTTCTAAAACTATAATGGATATGCTTGAATATTTATAAGCAGTTTTGAAGCAAAGAAATGAATGGTGATAAAAATCCTAAAATTACAATTATTTCTCAGGAAAAGTTTGCTAATATGTATTTTGGAAACTTACACATGTCTTGCAGATACGAAATTTTAATATTTTCAAAGGGAATTAGGTTAAATAAAATATTTTTAGTAATATTTATAATCGCGATGGTATCTATAAGAAAAGAATAGGAGTGGGATTCTGTTGATGCAGACAAATATTCCCATAGCCTTTTTTGTTTGTTTTTTTATTCCATTTAAATATCCCAGGGTATTATATAATATCTGATTTATTTAAATATCTCAAGCGTAGAACTTTATCTCTATGTTCCACTCTTAAGAAAATTATCTGATAACCCATGATGTCCAAAGGAAGCAAATACTTCTTGGAAGTCACTGCTTGTTTGAAAAATTATCTTAAGGCATCTCTTTGGACCGTCATGACACGTTGCCGATGGGGAATATTCTTGACCTTTGTTCTTCGTTGCATAAACTGAAAATAATTGGTCATCTTAATGCATGATATACTTCTACATTGTTGACAGTATTAAGATATTTTCGAGCTCATTTGAAGGTCGGATTTTTTTGGTTATAAAGGGATTGACATTCGGAATTTAAGAATAAGCTTCGAGCGCAAATGAAATATAATTAACTCTCAGGTACGTTGTTTTTCCCTCTTTTCGGCTTACAAATTTTAGAAGATCTAACAGCCAGTAAAATTTTCTGTATATGTTTCAAAATCATTGATATCAAATTTGACACTTTTCCAAAAATGTTTGCATATGTTTTTGCTTCTGCATATTTATTAAATATGGCTCATTGGCTAAATGAATGCAGGAACTGAAACGCACTACTGAAAACCGGTGAAATTATTTCTTTGCACAAGTCATATTCGAAGCATAATATCACAGAGAAGGAGAATGATAAGTATATTTTGTATAAATTAAATATAATTTTGTTTAACAGAATTTCTAAAATTTTTAAAACCTGCCGTCATATGATAAAAAGAATTTTACCAAGAGGAGTGTTATTCTAAGATTTGTGCTTTAAGATGTGTTTAATCGTATAATTTAAAGGTATTTCTGAATTCATCTTTAATACAAATTATTTTAGTGTTATAAAGTAAATTTTCTATATTTTAATTACCTCTGCTAACGTTTTTCATAACAGGTTATAGCAAAAGATTAGTTTTCGAATGCAGTTATGCGCAAGTTTTACTGGAGTACCTATTTTCTTCAGTAATGCACATACTAAAACATTTGATTTCATAAGTAAAATGTTTCGTAAACAAAAGAAATGTACTGCATTCTGTAGCATTTAACAGTTATGCATACTTTTAATTAATTAAATTCATGAAGGAACGTTTTTAAAAATATCGTGCCATAATCGAATGCAAATGTTATAATTTATGAAATATATTTAAGTGAAAATAATGATGCTTTAGTTAAACTAATTTGTTAAATATGTCTTCTTATGCTCGAACCTCATTTGCCGAATAATTTTCCTTAGTTAATTGTATTTACTTAACTTGCTAAATAATTTCATTTATCACGCAGGAATTCATTCTTATACGCAGGACAAAACAATAATATTGAAATACAACATATATTGATGAATCAGATATAAACCAGACTACAAAGACTGTAAATATAATCATAATGATATCGAAGGAAATAAAGGAATAAGTTACACAAAATGTCTTCATTTTCTAATACAGAGGCCCTAGACTTTCACATATAATTATTGGTTCCTGAAAATATGAGCGAATGTTCACTATTAAAAAAATAAGTAAAATAAATTAAAACTGTATTCTAAATATTTATGTATCAGTATCATTATTTATTTATCAGTATACATAAGAGTTAAAGAGGCATGTTTAAACGCTTTCAGGTGTTTTCTTTATAATTATATCAAGAGCTAGTTGGAATACCACTCATCTGCTTCTTTTTAGTGCCTTCCATCTTGGATTTCATTTAACTCTCGTTGCACGATTAAGTTTTCATTTGACAGCAAGTGAAAGTCTATCAACTCATTAACATCTTCGTTGTTAATGTTCAAGTTTAATTCATTCATTAGGGTAACTAGTATTTATTTTATGATAGTTTTCGGAATTTCTTTATAATTTATAAAATCACTCATTATTTGTGGGTATAATTATTTCCAGGAACCTATCTTATTGTTCACTTTTTTATTTCAGTTCATGACTCCCCAATATTGTTTATTTTATTAATAATATAGTCTTTAAATAAATATTCTTCAAAAAATAATAGTCTTCAAAAAATCTTTTATATGGCCCATATTCCCTTCTAGTAGTCTTAATGGCCTGATTCACTGCCGTCTACATATAATATTGTTTAAAAGAGACTATCACTCTTTCATATAGAGGCTGTATAAGGCAGGTAATACTGGGAGAAAGAAACGCAACATGGATTTCCGAATATAAATTCTGCAAAGATTTGGGGTATTCTGGAGCATTATATAAGATTAAAAGTGCTTTGAATTGTAATCTTTTGTCTTCACAATATTATTTGACTTCCGGTACGAAATGAAAAGTGAACTAATCTGTAATTATTAACGCAGTAACCAGCTCCCCGGTTTGTCTTTCTGCTTTCTACAGAAAGTTTTATGCAGCTTTTTCTCTAAAAAGCTTTTAAAGAAAGAAATTTAAAATGTAATAGCACAAACTTAAAGAAAATGCTTGTGCCATTACATTTTAAATTTCGTACAACTAAGCACCATTAATATACTCATTAACATATATTGCTGATATGCTCGCACAGACTACTTCTGAATTGAGTTTGGGTCTAGAACCCGAGAACCACTCTTATCAATATAAGTGGCAGCCACTGCATGAGAACGAATAATTTTTGCAATATCGAAAAAAATCTTAAAAAAAAATAGAATTGTTAAAAATTTGCGAAATAGTGAAATGTGCGAAAGTCGAGGGATGCATGTATGTGTTTACCATTAATATAAAATTTTTAAATACTAGCATTTTTAGTTTTTTGATTATATTTTAATAAATCTTTTCATTAAAAGCTGTTATGTAAGTAAAGTCTCATTCCCGGTTGTCCAATTTTACAGAAAACCTAGTCAACTAATACGCTTTACGAAAAATAGAATTTTTTTGCAGGTTTGATATAAGTGTTATTAAACATAAAAAAATTCTTCACACACATAGAGATCCACAGGCAGCAAGCGTCATTGAAAAATAGTAAAATCGTCTTTCGGGAGCCCTAATTCGCGCTTATTCACTGAAAGCTCGCTATTGAATTTTTTAGACCAAAAACATCACTTCTTCTACCTATGGGTATAGGCTTGTGGCAAATAACAAAGATAACCGGAATTATGTAAAAAAAAAAAAAAAATAAAAAATAAAAAAAAAAATAAAAAATACGTATCGAATAGCTAAAGACTTGAATACTAATTATAAACAAGCCAAATCCCTCATTAAAAAGATCCAGTATGGTATTGAAATTATAGAAGTGGTAAATATATTTGAAAACGTCTAATGATCTAATTTTGGTATTCTAACTGAGAATTCTTCATGTTTTGCATTTCAACTCAAAGAGAACTCTTTTATTTCCACTTAATTTTTAGAGTGCATCACAGTTCCTACTTCCCCCTTACTATTCATACTGGTATTTTTTGTAGTGCTTTATAGTACCCTTCACAGATGCTAAATAACATGTCTATGAACTTTGTTTGCCAATAGATCACCATTTGCTTCAGACGTATCTAAATTAGATCTAACGGCACTTCAAATCTCATCGTTTTATTCGGCCTTCATTTGCGCTTTTTCTTGCAACCAGCGGCCTTTAAGGGTTCGCAAGTTTAAACTCTAAAAACTGCACGCTTGCAGAACCAACAAAGTACACGAAAGACAAAAGTTTTGGAACCGCTGTTTTAGACGAATCCATTAGTGCTATCTATTGGCGAAAATTTGAATTAAAATCTACATTAGCCCCCAAAATATATCTTTGCGATAAGTGTCGAATGAAACTGTACTTTGAGATAAGGAAGTTTATTGATTTCACGTGATCTTTTAAAAAGTGTTTAAATATATGCAACACTTTAATACATATTACCAGTGCCGATCCTTTACCGTCGGCCGGCTACGTGCAAATTAAAATTGGCCGTCTTGTTTACAAACCTTGTGCTTCAAATATTTAAAATAATAATCATTTTCCGCCCTCAAATTTGTGCGCCCACGTGCCGTGCACCGTGTTGATCTCCACTAGAATCGGCTCTTCATATTACCTGACGTACAAAGAGCTTAAATATAAACTTAATTTATGCAAAAACATTTCTCATAATTAAAGAATTGTTATGATGTTACTGTAATGCGAAGAAAAAGGCCAATATGGAAAACTTTAAGCCATGACAAGGGATAAATATTTTTCATCTCATGGTGTGCACTCGTTTCTAAAGATGTACACAAGTAACAAAAAAAATATTTTTTGACATTCCCCAGGACACAAAACCCCTATTCTTCCAAGTAGCCATAGATTAAAAAGGCATTTTGCTTTTGTCAGTAGTCCGAATATTCGAATGTTTATGCTTATGTAGCCAGGAAATATTAATAACAGAATTAAATTAATGCTTCAAAGGTATATCACGCGAATAGCTATCAACTAAGTCCAGTAGGGGGTGGAAACAGAAGGCAAGTAGGAAGGAGAAAACCGTTGTCTCATGCGCTACGCAACTATCAGTATAGTTAACCCTTTGCGCACAGTGTGTCCGGTCTAGACACACCTAAAAATTTCCTTTTGTACGCACAGAAAAATTGAATGAAAAAGGATTTTTAAGTTACTATAGGTTACTCTGAACCTTCTTTATTTATAGTAGATGGCAGCTCAACATAAACCAGTCCATATATTTTAGCCATATTTAGTTTTTTAAGACCCTCATTTTTCAAAGAAATCTTCCGGGTTTTTTAGGGTATAAAAGGAATTGTTTGAAAAGAAATTTCTATGTTATTTTTTTGGCTGTATGCTAATCTCCTTATTCTATATCAGTTTTAATTTTTTACCTTGAAATCTTGCCTAAAATCAAACGGCGAACCCATGGTGTGCCCAGACCGGGCTCACCGATAATCTAGGACAACTGAGATTCTGTATTCTTTGTTTCACCGCATCTCATCGGTCAGTTCATTGACAACAATACTCGTTTCAGCACTCGTTTCGAAGCTCTATTCAATCAGTGTGGCACTTTGGGCACACCCACAGAATTAAAACGATAAGTGCTATCTTCACAAAATTTTACTTGTGTACTCCTCTAAGCCTAATTCAACTACCTACCCTTTTTTTTTTTTTTTTTTTTTTTTTTTTTTATCAAAACACCGACTTTAAAAGGTAGCGTTCCGGGAAGGGTTAAAGCAAATCAGAGAGTACGTTTTATAGGACAGAGTAATTTTATCTAGTTGAATACTAATGCAATAAATCAATGTTCTATAACAGGGGTGGCCAAAGGGCGGCTCGCGAGCCTGATTAGACTCTCACAGGCAACTTTTGCGGCTCATGCATATAAAATATATGTATGAAATATGGTAAAATAAATTATTCAGTCTCCAAAAAGAAGTAATTAATTAGATCAAACTCTTTTTACAAAGTTATCAGGGATTTTTACAAAGTTATCAGGGTATTCATATTTAAAATCT